TATATCTATTAACCGGTTTAATTACAATTAAATATGCTAATTATAATTTTTATTAATTATAAATGGTCCCAAATGTCCTATTTAGTCATATATTTAATCTAGCTTGCACCCATATTTATTTCATAATTATTTTCGTCATTTAGTTAATTATTTACTAAATGTGTACAACTTGGCCCAATTACAATTAAATCAATTAAAAATACCTACAAATATTATTTTTCAATTATTCTTGGTCCGAATATGTATTTTTATACCAGGTATTTAATTTATATTTTTCCAGATTTTATTTATTTCATTTACTATTTTATTTTTAATTTTTTATTAAAAATGGGCCGAACCGGCCCAAATTCGCGACCCGGCCCAAGAAGACTGGGTTGTCTCCTTCCCAGCTTCTCCAGGTCGCGATTCCGGCGACCGGAATCCCGAAAACTTCGGCGAGCGATAACTTTACTTACAGGTAACGGATTTAAACGATTCAAGTTGCAAAATGATCCTGACGTCGAGGAGAAGCTCCGCCACCCCTATCTACGGCCAAATTTCCGCACTTGCTGAAGACCCATTTCCTTGGCTTGCAACTCCGGCGACCTCTAGGATGCTCCGGTGACTACGAATTGGTCTGGAATTTATTGGGAAATATTCCTAGACCTCTCACGACCCTCCTCTCTTGTTTATAGGCAATTTCTTACGTAAATTTATATATGTGTATTTTTCCGGCGAGTAAGTATATATATATATTCTCTACTCGTTTTCTTCACTTTGTGGTGATTTAGAATGGGAAGGAAGCTGTATTTATAGCTGTAGATCGATCATTCTAGGCTGAATCATACATGGAGTGATTGGTTTGAATTATTTCTTCATTATTATTCAATATTATTATACATAGTATTATGAACATGCATGTGTAAATGTTGGTTGTTCTAATGCATTCTAAGTCTAGTCGGCAAGTTCATTGCATATATTATTACCTCTATTTGTATTATTGTGAACACCTATGTGTATGATTGTCATCCACAAGTTACATTTTATGTGTATATGTATATTATTACATGTTACAAAATGTCACTTATAATACTTTGATATTTATTTTTATTTACCTTGTCAGATATATTTTATCTGATTTATTTTTATTTTTATTTATTTTATTTTATTTTTTTCCGATGCCACATAAGTGTTTAATTTTCATTGCATGTAGTGTGCGTATATTTTTATACACCAAGTATAAAAAAAATATTTTGATCTTACTTTCATTTGATTTATCAGATATAACTTATCTGATTTATTTATTTATTTTTATTTCAAATTTTCAAGGTATCACATTCTACCCTCCTTAAAGAATGCTTCGTCCTCGAAGCATAAACTAAGACGCGAATTAAGTATGAAGATGAATTATTATAGGTTTATAAGATATGACAACCTGCCCCCCTAAAAGAAAGGTTACGTCCTCGTAACCGAATATTTACCTTAATTGAAAAGTTCAGGATACCGTTTACGCATATCCTCTTCTGTCTCCCATGTTGCATTCTCGGTCAAATGGTTTGACCAAAGTACTTTTACCATCTTAACTGTCTTCTTCCTTGTCTCTCGGGTCTTAGTATCGAGAATCTCTATGGGTTTTTCTTCGTAGGATAATGTCTCATCCATTTCAATCACCTAATAATATAACGGTTAACTTATATTCTTTTCAATTTACGTTTGGCTCATGTTAAGTCTAGGATTTCTTACCTCCGGATTGATGATATGTGACTCATCTCGAACATACTTCTTTAATTGTGATACGTGAAAGACGTTATGTACCTAGCATATATCGGTATGTTAAGAATGTATTTTAATCGTAGAGAAGTATTTGATTTCAAATCGGTTGTTACCTTATCCAACTCCGTGGGTAGAGCTAATCGATATGCCACTTTTCCCACCTTCTCTAGGATGTCATAGGGTCCGATGAATCTCGGACTTAGTTTCCCTTTCTTCCCGAACCTCATTACGCCTCTTGTAGGAGAGACTTTGAGTAGAACTTTCTCCCCTAGTTCGAATTCAGCTGGTTTTCTCCCAAGATCGGCATATGATTTCTGTCGGTCTTGGGCAGCCTTCATCCTTTCTTGGATGACCTTGATTTTCTCAATAGTATCTTGCAAGTATTGTGGTCCTAGAACCACCTGATCGACCATGTCACCCCAACATAAGGGACTCCTACACTTTTGACCATATAGAGCTTCGTATGGGGCCATTCCGATGCTAGCATGGTAACTGTTATTGTACGAAAACTCTACCAAGTCTAGGTGTTCATCCCATGATCCTTGCAAATCAAGAACACATGCCCTCAACATGTCTTCTAATGTTTGGATTGTTCTTTCGGTCTGTCCGTCCGTGGTTGGATGGAAAGCAGTACTTAACTTCAATTTTGTTCCCATAGCCGTTTGTAATTCTTTCCAAAATTGGGATAAGAATCGTGAATCTCGGTCTGATACGATGTCTTGAGGTACTCCGTGGTGTTTGACCACGTGTTTGACATAGGCTTTTGCCAGTTTCTCCATGCTCCAGGTTTCATTCATAGGAATGAACCTTGCAGTTTTGGTCAATCTATCCACTACCACCCAAATTTTATCTTTCCCGGACTTTGTTAAAGGTAAACCCCCGACAAAGTCCATTGAGATTGAATCCCATTTCCATGTTGGTACTTCCAAGGGTTGCACGAGTCCCTTGGGTTTGCATCTTTCCGCTTTGACTTTTTGGCAGTTCAAACATCGGGATACAAATTCAGCTACTTCTTTCTTCATTCCCGGCCACCAAAAGTTCTTCTTGAGGTCTTTGTATAGTTTGTCTCCCCCGGGATGTACCGAGTAGGGCGTGTTGTGTCCCTCCTCCATGATTTGTTTTTTAATATCTGCACACTTCAGTGGAACACACCATCTTCCCTTGTATCGGATGCTCCCATCTTCATGCATCTTAAATGGTCCGTTGACGCCATCTTTCATTCCTTCCTTGACTCTTTCGAGCTTTACATCTCCCGGTTGTCCGTTCTTGATTTCGTCAAAGATAGATGGTATAACAGTCATAGTACATAACTGTATTTCACCATCTACTTCGCCATATTGCTTTACTTCCAAGCTCAATCTTTGAAAGTCTCGGAATAGTTCTTCTGGTAATATCCATGTTGCTCGGCATGAGTGCTCAGATTTCCGGCTCAAAGCATCCGCCACCACGTTAGCTTTTCCCTCGTGGTATTGGATTTCTAGATCGTAATCATTGATAAGCTCGAGCCATCTTCTTTGCCTCATGTTAAGCTCTTTTTGAGTGAATATGTACTTCAAGCTTTTGTGGTCAGTGTATATCTTACAATGTGCTCCGTATAGGTAATGTCTCCAGATTTTCAAAGCAAACACTACTGCAGCTAACTCCAGGTCATGGGTAGGATAATTGACTTCATGCACCTTTAGTTGTCTTGATGCATAAGCCACCACTTTCCTATTTTGCATTAGCACACACCCCAACCCCCTTTTGGATGCATCACTATAAATATCAAATCCCTCCGTCCCTGACGGTAGTGTCAAGACCGGTGCAGTTGTGAGTCTTTTCTTCAACTCTTGGAATGCTGCTTCACAATCTTCATTCCATTGGAACTTTGTTGTCTTCTTTGTCAGATTGGTTAGCGGTCTTGCTATCTTGGAGAAATCTTTAACAAATCTCCTATAGTATCCCGCTAGACCCAAGAAACTTCTTACCTCTGTGACCGAGGTAGGTGCACGCCATTCAACCACCGCTTCAATCTTCGATGGATCTACGGATACGCCTTCCTGGGTGATGATGTGACCCAAGAACGCTACCCGATCCTGCCAGAAGTCACACTTTGAGAGTTTGGCATACAACTGGTTCTCTCTCAAAGTTTGTAACGTGAGTCTCAAGTGTTTCTCGTGATCCTCCGGGGTTTTTGAATACACAAGAATATCATCAATGAATACCACCACAAATGTATCAAGATAAGGTCGGAATACACGGTTCATTAAGTCCATGAATACCGCCGGTGCATTTGTTAAACCAAACGGCATCACAGTGAACTCGTAGTGTCCATACCTCGTGCGGAATGCTGTTTTTGGTACATCTTTTTCGGATATTCTCACTTGATGATATCCAGAGCGCAAGTCTATCTTAGAGAACGTGCTAGCCCCCTTCAATTGATCAAACAAGTCGTCAATTCGGGGCAATGGATACTTGTTCTTGATAGTTGCTTGATTCAACTCTCGGTAATCGATGCATAGCCTTAGACTCCCATCTTTCTTTTTGACAAATAAGACCGGAGCGCCCCAAGGTGAGACACTCGGTCTTATGTACCCCTTCTCTAACAACTCCTCTAGTTGTTCCTTCAGCTCCTGCATTTCTTTCGGTGCCATTCGGTAAGGTGCTTTTGAAATTGGCGCGGTTCCGGGCATCAACTCAATTGAGAATTCAACTTCTCTCACGGGCGGCATACCTGGAATCTCTTCCGGAAATACGTCCGGAAATTCATTGACTACGACAATTTGGTCAATGTTTGGTTCCCCTGTATTCACCTCTTTCATAAAGCACAGGTAGGTTTCATACCCCTTTCGGATATGTCGCTTTAATTGTTGCATAGTCATCAACTTCATGCTATGCTTGGATGTGACTGCTTTGTAAGATATTCGCTTCCCATTTGGACCCTTCAAGATTACCTTCTGTTCATCACAGAGGATCCTGGCTTTGTATTTCCCCAACCAATCCATGCCCAGTACTATGTCTATATCTTTTAAGTCAAATTGGATTAAATCTCCATGTAGGTTGGATTCAGATATGAGTATGGAAATGTTGGAGTATACATTTCCACAAGTTACAAATTTATCTGAGGCGGTTCTTACATTCAAGTCTATTCTAGCCGTTGGTTCAATCTTCAATTTCTTAACGAAACTAGAAGATATGAAACTGTGAGAAGCACCAGAATCAAATAGAACATAAGCATTAAGCAGGCTCAGAATTTACAAGGAATGTACCTGAAACCACATCATTAGCATTGGCTTGGGCCTGATTCATCACCATGATTCGCCCTTGGTTCGGACGGTTGCCGTTGTTTCCGCCATTGCCATTGTTCCCGCCATTGCCATTGCCACGATTATTCTCCCCTCCTTCTCGAGGGTTGCGGTTGTTGTTGGCGGCGGCGGCATTGTTGTTGTTATTTTGTCCTCCATTTGGCCTAGCTTGATTCATATCTGGTCTTCCTCCATCACGGTATTGCACCTGGTTCACTGGTGCCCCATTGGTCTTTGAGAGACACTCGAAGGTTCTGTGCCCTAGCTTCCCACAATTGAAACATTTTGTCAGGCTTCCATCGCAGTTAACACCGGGATGATCTCTCCCGCACCTCTTGCAGTAGAAGTGTCTATCTCTGGGAGCAACTCTTCGATCATTTTGTTGGTTTTGACCGTGGAAATTTCTTCCACCTTGGTCATCTCTCCTCCTCCTCCCTTCTTGTTGCTGTGTAGGTGGGTGCACTCTGACCCTCTTTTCTCCTCGACCTCCATCTTCGTCCCTCTTCATCTTCTGGTTCCTCTCTCTTTGTAGTTGCTGAACTCGATAGTGAACTGCAGCTCTATCATAAGCTTCAGTCAGAGTTTGGCAACCCAAAACAGCGACGATTTTCTGTGTATCATAGTTTAATCCGTAGATAAATTTCTCAACTTTGGTGCTTTCATCAGGCACTATTGTTTTCGCAAATGGCGCGAGGTCCACGAATTTATTGTGATATTCCTGGACACTCATGCCCATCTGTTTCAAATGTATGAATTCATCACGCATGGTGGCCTGAACGTGTGCAGGATAAAAACGTTTCCTCATGGCAATCTTGAAAGCTTCCCAATTGAAGTCAGGTTGTTGACGTAAAGTTGGGCCTGATGAGACCCACCAGTTATCCGCTTCTTGCTGTAAATAGTAAACAGCAATGTCAACCCTTTGCTCTTCCGGACAGCTCACCGCGTCGAAGAGTTTGTCAAAGAGTCGGAGCCAATTTTCGAGGATACGAGGATCTTCTTGCCCATGAAAGCTTGGAGGGTTGCGAGATGCCACTCGTTTTGCGGCATCATTCCCGTTGTTCTGGTTTTGATTGTTCTGGAGCACAGTAGCACCCAGTGTGTGCATGAATTGTGCCAGTTGTTGAACGCTTTGTGCCAACTCAGCATTGGTGGGCGTGTTATCAGGGTCTCTTCTCGGTGCCATGATATCTTAATGACATAAAGTATTCGTGTAAGATTTTCTATATTTTTCTCCTAAGGATCCTAGTTCAACTAAGGATTCCATAGGCTATGCAACATGATCATATAAAAATGTACATAACAATCATACAGAGGATTCATACTTCACATAAAAGCACTTTCACACATAATGTTTGTACATACCTTAGCCACTTCGGAATTTTGCCCTATGAGGCATTCCCATTTTATCATTTGGGGTTCCCATTTCTCAAATGGGCCCACAATTAGCATAATTATCACATACATGATACATGTAAGGAAAATAAATACTCACAAGGTCCTCACCACGTTCCTAAAAGGCCATTTCCTAGCTATATTATCTTTCCTAATTTTAAAAATATTTGAAAATCTCCCTTTTGAAGGTACAATTTCAAAGGTTTCCTTCAACGATTTCGAACGACGAAGTTTCAGCACAAGGAGAAATTCCCAGGTAGTTGGACGAGCGCAAAGGCTCAATTAAGAACCAACAGCCTTAGACTCTTATCGTCTTGGTGACAGAATTTCTCCATACAACCTATTACCTCGTGTTCTAATCCCTTTGGAAAACCTAAGGCTCTGATACCAACTTGTAACACCCCCATTTTTCCCACCAAAATAAAATAACATTTTGAAATGAAAACATCTTTATTATAAAACATATTTAGAGTACAGCGGAAGTCTTTAATGGAAAAACAGGTGTGTCACCGCCACACTCAACCTATACATGATTGAGTGCACAGGCTATCCACCATAAAGTCAAGTAGCCATCGGATAAAACTTAAAACAAGTTTATGGATTACAATTTTAAACAACAATAATTAATCAAACGTGTGCAACTAGCGGAACACTCGGGCACCAAGTACATCAATCTTCATAATCATAATCATCTGTACAATAGAGCAAAGAGAAAAAGAGAAAAGAGACAAAAATTAGCTTTAGAGCTAAGTAAGATTCCACCCGAACCCGTAAAATAATATAATTTGGAAAATAGGTTTTTGTATATATATATATATATCGAAAAGTAGTCTCTCATATTTCCAAAATGGTTTAATGTCATAAAATAGTTTCCACAATAGATAAGATCATCTTTCAATTCCTCCAAAAGTAATACTTTAGATTCTTTTAAGAGTGGGCGAAACTCAAGATTCCTCGAGCCCAATGAGTCGTTGTTATCTACGACTCATCCCGGAATTCCGGCTCCCACCGACCACCAATTGGAAGCTGAATTTCTACCTTAAGTGTGCACACCCTCTAAAAGGGATTCCAAGCCCTCCGAGTAGTAAGAAACCCAAGTAGGCAGGATGTTTTCTACCACCTACTCACAAGGGACATTGTCCAAGGGTAAATTAGGTAACTACTACTACGACCACCAAAGGATCTTTGATCCTCAAATAAAAGCCCGGGATGTCTACCGGAGTATGTCATTGCCGGACTGGTTACCGACCCAAATAAATTTCACCAAAAGTAGTAGTAGCCCTAACCACCCACGCCTCGTGTTTCTCTCGAGACGTAAGAATATATATTATGAAAACTTTAAGTTTTCCCCAAATCATTCTTGTCACATTTTCTCAAAATATCCTTTGTAATATATATAAATCCACCAATATTCTTTAATAAAAAGAATATACATTTAATCATCCATAAAAGGTAATAATCCACCAATATTCATATAGTCAAAATATTCGATCCATGTCAAACATATAATTTCCAATTCATAAATAACTCACATAGTGCAAATATTGCATACATATAAGTACGAGGCAAAACATTTTGGTTGACATAGAACTTACCTTAAATTGCGATAATCTCCTTAATAAAATCTCTAGCTTGATCTTCACTTGAATTCTCCTTCTAATATTGATCAAAATTCTAAATCAATAACTATTCTATTATTTCGTTATTTCTTTTATATCCAACCTTTAATTACTTTAACTTCATAATTCCTTCTTTAAATATAAATATTAAATTAATAAATCTTACTAACTGTTTATTTCCAGTTCATTCTTATTATTTTCTTTAATTATAATAACCCAACTCAGTTTTTCTTAATTTGTTTGGTTAAATAGTTAACTAGTCCAATTATATTACTACATAATAATTTCATTATTTCGAATTTAGATAATCAATTTCAGTTCAAAATTCAGTTTACATAATTTATATAATTTATTTAATAACCCTTTTAATAATAACTTGACTTAGGCAATAATTCGAAATAATAATCATTAATGATAATCTAATCTCAATAACAACTTTAATTAGTTCAATCGTTTATTTATACTAACTAACCCAATTAAATTAATTTATCCAATCCTCCAGTTTTATTTATTTGACTCACTAATTTAATTGAACTAACTAAATCAAATAAATAAGTTTAATTATATCAATATAGCTAAATACGTTAATCTAATTCAATTAAGTCCAATAATCAAATTCTAATCTCGTTTTAATTTTCTATTTTTAATATAAAGTCCAGAGATGTTATCAAGTCTATAAATTAACTAATTTATCCATTAAACTAATTGATCTAGTTAAACTAGTCCAATGAAGTCAATTAACTAACTTATTAAGTACACATTACTTAATTAATTTGTTTATATTCATCAACTAATTTTTATGAGTTCAAATAGTTTAATAATTTATATGGAGTCCAAATCACTAATAATCAAGGATAATAATTATTAATTTAATCACGCTAATTTAATTAGTCAACTAATTCAATAATTTATTTATTAAGTCCAAATATAGTCATTCATTTATACTAGATAACCCAACTTTATTTTCTTTTCCTTATTTTATTACAAACATCATTTTTAGTCCAGAACATTATTTTCAATCTTAGTGATTTATTTATTTCACCATTAATATCAAAATTTCCTTATTTAATTACTTAACTAGTTTATATGGCTCAATTAAATTAAATAACTTAATCATCACTTTTATAAATTACTAATCATCCATAACTATAGTTTGGGTCTATACTAGACCTAGGTTGTCCAGATATTTATTTTAGAATTATTTCCTTTATTTATTCACTTAATTTCATATATCTATTAACCGGTTTAATTACAATTAAATATGCTAATTATAATTTTTATTAATTATAAATGGTCCCAAATGTCCTATTTAGTCATATATTTAATCTAGCTTGCACCCATATTTATTTCATAATTATTTTCGTCATTTACTACAAATATTATTTTTCAATTATTCTTGGTCCGAATATGTATTTTTATACCAGGTATTTAATTTATATTTTTCCAGATTTTATTTATTTCATTTACTATTTTATTTTTAATTTTTTATTAAAAATGGGCCGAACCGGCCCAAATTCGCGACCCGGCCCAAGAAGACTGGGTTGTCTCCTTCCCAGCTTCTCCAGGTCGCGATTCCGGCGACCGGAATCCCGAAAACTTCGGCGAGCGATAACTTTACTTACAGGTAACGGATTTAAACGATTCAAGTTGCAAAATGATCCTGACGTCGAGGAGAAGCTCCGCCACCCCTATCTACGGCCAAATTTCCGCACTTGCTGAAGACCCATTTCCTTGGCTTGCAACTCCGGCGACCTCTAGGATGCTCCGGTGACTACGAATTGGTCTGGAATTTATTGGGAAATATTCCTAGACCTCTCACGACCCTCCTCTCTTGTTTATAGGCAATTTCTTACGTAAATTTATATATGTGTATTTTTCCGGCGAGTAAGTATATATATATATTCTCTACTCGTTTTCTTCACTTTGTGGTGATTTAGAATGGGAAGGAAGCTGTATTTATAGCTGTAGATCGATCATTCTAGGCTGAATCATACATGGAGTGATTGGTTTGAATTATTTCTTCATTATTATTCAATATTATTATACATAGTATTATGAACATGCATGTGTAAATGTTGGTTGTTCTAATGCATTCTAAGTCTAGTCGGCAAGTTCATTGCATATATTATTACCTCTATTTGTATTATTGTGAACACCTATGTGTATGATTGTCATCCACAAGTTACATTTTATGTGTATATGTATATTATTACATGTTACAAAATGTCACTTATAATACTTTGATATTTATTTTTATTTACCTTGTCAGATATATTTTATCTGATTTATTTTTATTTTTATTTATTTTATTTTATTTTTTTCCGATGCCACATAAGTGTTTAATTTTCATTGCATGTAGTGTGCGTATATTTTTATACACCAAGTATAAAAAAAATATTTTGATCTTACTTTCATTTGATTTATCAGATATAACTTATCTGATTTATTTATTTATTTTTATTTCAAATTTTCAAGGTATCACAGAGAATGGCATCGGTGAGCCTAATCCGGCCAGAAAGAAGCGTTCTTCCCAGCCGTCCGGATTCCCGGCGTTGTTCGAAAACAGGACCATGGACGGACGGGCGATCAGGGTCAAGTACCCCGTGCGTCCGAAGGGGGACAGCCGGAAGAAATGATGCAGCAGATCCACGGTGGAGGTCACGCCGACGCTATGGCATCTAATGATGAAGCCAGCGATTATCCGATAGGCGGCAGGGACGAACTGCACAGGCACTATCTCAAGGGCCCTGAAAAGCTCCAAGTGGAAGCTGTGTAAGGGGAAGTTCAGCCCGGCTATCACCGAATCCAAATGGACCACCACATAGCCAGGCAGGTGGCGCATGGGGTTGCGCAGGCGCCGATCGTCGTAGGTCCTTGGGGGATAAAACCATTGGCTGATCAGACGCTTATCAGCATTCGTCAAGCGTTGATTTTGACGCCGGACGCACGAGAAGCTGAGGCTGTAACGGGGGGGCCGGGGCGGCATTCCCCGCTCATAATACTCAAGGTCATCGCCAGAAGAACAACCATCGTCAAAACGGGTTTCAGAAGACATGGCAACGAACGGTACCTTGGAAGTTCGAGGTTCGACACGGCTTGAAGGAAATCTAGAGAGAGAAAGCAATTGTGCAGCGTAAGGAGAAGTGTGAATGAATCACATGGTTTCTGGGTACTTATAGGCAGCACCGTGGAATCGCGCCAACCGAAGCAGGACACGTGGCACCTGGATACCGGTACCTACCACGATATTAGAGGTGCCTCGATTCCATCACCTCAAAATCACGGCAAGGAGACCCGGATCGATGCCACGAACGTCCCGCCAGGGGGGATTTACCAGCTCCAAGGGATCTAGTGACGCTCAGAGATCGCAACCATCGGCTGTGCCTAAAATCGGCAGCTAATGGGAGACATACGCGTCAACGGGCTACGTCCGTCTTTCCGTACTTTGCGCCACGGGAACATTTAGACCAGACGAACGTCTCCCTACGAAGCTTGGGTAGAGCACGCGCAGCCTGGATATTTGCGTTTACGCATATGGCAGACGAACGTCTTTATCAAGTGATGGTTCTGGGAAGTACGTTCATATCTCCATACTTGAGAGATTTACTACTGACCGAGAAGGCAACCACCGACGAACGTCGTCTTACGGCATTAAAATTGACTACAGACAGCGGTTGGTGATATGCTCGCACTTGTAAGATGGACGTCCCTGTCAGAATACTGTTGCCGGGCGGCAAGTAAGCATCGGCGCCGAGCGTCGCCACCCAAAGACGAACTCTCGCGGTACGTCTGCGCATTTCGAGTGCGTACGGGGGCATGGCAAGGGGGCGCCGTTGCCCTAAACAAGATGAGGGACAGATATGAACGTCCCCGCGGACTTTAACTTTACCTCGAAAGTGCAGCGAGGCACCGAAGGAGACTCCACACAACAGACGATAAAGGAAAGAAAAATAATGAAGTAAGAGATCACGAACGTAGAGACAATTATGGGCAAAAAGCGTGTGTATTCCTCAGCTCTAACGGCTGGACATTACATATTCAAAACAAGGAATGTACAAGCTATGCTACACGAGAAAAGGGGACCCCGGCCGGCTGCTCCCCTGGTTCAGCTCTTCCTCCTCGACTTCAGGCTCGGGCGTCAGGGGCTCTGGGATCTCTCCTGTGGCTTTAGCGTCCTCCCGGCGCTGATCCCTCCCCAGCTTCCCCAAAGCTTGGATCAGCAGGTCGTCATCGGTGTTCGCAGCCAAGTCAAAATCGGACCCCAGCAGCTTGGCGAATATGGGGAGGGTGGCCCTGACCCCCTCATTATAACCAGCGGCGAAGGTGCTGTCACCAACCTCATAAAGGAATTTATGGGACAGGGGGGAGCTTTCCAGAATCCGGACGCCGCACGCCAGACGTTGCCGGGGCGGTATCTTCGCCAGAGCCGCAGAGAACACGTCGCCGAAGGCCCCGGCGCAATAGTCTCTGGCAGAGTCCATGAACTCCCCAGTGTTCCTATAGCCGGAGGTGTCAACCAGCCACTCCGGGCCTGCATGCTTCGCGACGGGGTGCACCGGGACAAGCTTGAAGCCAGCTTTCTCAAGGCTGACCAGCCGGTCATGGGATTCTGCCCGCAGGACAGCGATCTCCTTCTCCTTGGCCGCAGTCTCCGCCTCGGCTCGACGGGCGGCTTCCCGGGCTGCAGTGACGGCGGCATCGGCCTTGGCCTTGACCTCTCTCAGGTCGGCCTCCCTGGAAGCTTCAGCCTGAAGAACTAGAAGCCCAGACTGGACAAAAGAAAATAAAAGAAGGGCATATGGTCAGAAGACGAACGTCAAGAAGAAAATGTACTCAGATCTAGTAATGAATGAATACCTTAAGGGCAGCTGCCAGAGCAGCGCT